CCGAGTGGTAGTATGGGAATTGATGATCATGCCCCGAGGGCTATTTAGCGCGCCCGATTGATATAACATCTGATTTTTCGTCCCCTTTAAGGGTATGCACGGACACATTATTAGTAATAAATACATAGTCGTGCCGAGAAAGGTCGGTCGGATGTTAAGAAACTCATTAGTTATATGCGATCTATGCTCGAGTGTCTGGGCACGATTAAATTGTATGCCATAGCATCTAAATGTAACTGCTGTGCACAAAATACTCCTTTTATAGGAAATTGCATTGGTACACGCGGCGTCAGAGCGGATCCCTCTGAGCTTAAGGCTACATTTGATCGGCCGATTCCTAAGAATCAGAAGACTGACGTAAGTGGCTTGTCCTTGCCAATTGTTTTAGCAAAAAAATTGCGAATTACGCTGATATGCCTCGTCGTTTTAGCGATCTCCTTAAGAAAGGACACAGACCGGTGCTGGTAAAACACCCATGCTTATAACATATTGAGCAGTAAAGGTAATTCTTTTCCATGCCCCATTTCAACAAGCATATTTTGGATGGCGAGATAATTCCTAACATTTTTATAATCATAGAAAGTCGCAGTTAAAATACTGCTAATCGATTAAGCTTAATGTTTAATTCACATTGATATCGGCGTCACCGGCCAAGATCTGCTGAACGATTAAAGGCTTCCTTTTTTTGCTCGTTTTGTAGACTTAGTGAATCGCTTTCCTAATATAGGAGGGAGCACTACAACTGTGTTGCAAGCTTAACTTCGAGCTACTTGTAGCACTGTTTAAAGTGCTCTGTAAATTTTGCGTCTCGAATGCCAAAAAATATCGATGTGTGCGTAGAATAAAATCTGTCTGGACTGCCTGCTTCTATGGTACACCGTTGGAATACTTTGGCGACTGTATAACGTAATCAATCGTTGAAAGGAGGCTATTGGTCACTCAATGCTAAAAGATACCTTTCTGAAAGGTCACTAAGTTTTGAGGTCCAAGTGCAAGGCCATTTACAGGTATCGTGCAATGTCACCTAATTGTTTGTTTTTGTAACTTCTTGATAGCTGGAACAAGAAGGTACGGACAACACCTGACATGATGAAAGATGGGATTGTAAGAGATAAACACCATGTGATGAGATGACGCAAGGGACAGGGAGAGACGTTTATCGCAGGTGACTTGTCATGGTCAGCTTGCGGTACCGTTGGAAGCAGTTTACGCTAACACGTTCACTTTTACGTCCGGCAAATCTTTCACAAATTCAACTAAGACTACTCTTGCACTTAGAATAGGAAAAGCAAGCTCTTGAGCTCGCCCTCTGGATGTATCTAGATCAGGATACAAAAATGAGTCAAGTATTGTCTGCTCACGCAACTTGCGCTCCATCACTAATAGCTCCACACTTTAGTCTCGCCATCGTGCTTTTTGACCAATGAAGAGGGGACGAATGCCGAATCGCACTTAGTACGACGTGAAAGGTAGCCGATTGGTAAATTGCATACGCATACAAATGATGGGACATGCTGTGTTGTACGTTATGTAAAGCATTAGGTACAGCTCGCGTTACTCAGAAAAAAACTTCATTGCATTTTGTGTGGTGAGTAAGCTACATCAGGCGTGATTCACCTATGAGCGGAAGGAAGAAGACTATATTGACAAAGTACAAACATTATGATATTCACTGTGTTCTTACGGAGAGACACATACCAACACACGCAGACAAGTACGGTTTAGAATTTGGCATTCACCTTGCGCACCGTCACTAATAGCTTCACCTGTAGCGGAGTTTCTTAGCGCTCCTTAACAGAAGAAGTCTCAGACTCAAAGCATCTTTTAGCTATAACAAACTAACAACGACGAACAGTCGTTTAAGCCTAAATCTTAATAACCCCGGTTCCAAAGGGACTACGTTTCATAGAGTCACACACTAACTAGTCACTACAACTTAAACAACAGTAAGCGCCTTCTCAAGGATAACGCTCTTACAACGCGCTATGCCTTGACTTGGCACTTTTGTCAAACGATTTAAATGGGGCAATGAACTCTATTTATTCTTTAACTACGGTATGATAACCCTAAAACCTGGTCTGGATGACTTCTACATTGCAATCCTATGACAGAAGTCTTATCCTTTATTTTTACCCGATAAGGTGCGGTATTACCGTGAGTACAAGGTACCAAGACTGTACCACTCAGATCCACCGACCTTACTTGGGGTGGATACACAACATAAGCGGTATAATAATCGCCGCGTAACCCCGTTTCATAACCTTTCGGGTTCGCAATATAACACGTGACAGAGTTTTGCAGTTAGACCTATTCAGATGTTAAGCACATTGTCGATAACAAACACGTACAACACCGTTGTGATAATTGAGGTGCGTATCCCGAAATTCTATGCTGATGAGGTTTGTTACTCACGATATGATGACCTGCCGCAATTTCCCATTCTTCGTACACGGAATTTGCAAAACACTATCCAACAACAGCCACTAACAAATTATTCTGAAGTGCAATTGCAGGTATCTACTCAGCACAGTATGCTCAAGTAAAGCAATCAGCATTTGCTCATGCGCGTCCAGTATTTGCTCATGTGATCAAATTCACCTTCGATTGAGCCATCAACAAGCTTGCAAACCAGAACAGTTATCTAATTAGAGAGTGACTTCGAATGCTGTTAGTCACGCATCTTTTAATTACGCAATTTTTTAATTAATGCCTAATCTGCCTAGTTTGATAAATAATAAAATTGCATATGGCATACCACGGCTTACCGCACTGTTAATGACTGTATTGCACGTGATAAGTCTTTTCACCTGTCAGCATTGCTTGGGCAATTCTGTGCAAAGTAAAAGTCTACCGTCGCGCGCGGTGCGCCATTAACATTAAACACAAGCTGAATTACGGTCTCTAAGTTCTGTAGATTACCATCTGCAAGCGCGAAAATGCTGCTGCCGAGGAGGAGTATTAGAAACTTTCATGTTTGGCAGTTTCAAGGCTCAACGGATATACCATGTGACGGTCTCATATGGGCTGGTGGTCAGACCAGGCGACGTGTCGGACCACGAGGAGACGATTGTACAATTGGGACAGGGAGACGACTTGACATACGGAACAGCGAGCTGACAACATGACGGTTGGTACAAGGCAATGCGGTTGAAATGTGTGACTAACGTACGAGAAGGTAGGAAAGACGGATACCACCAGGCAAGTACATGGTCGAGTCGCAGTGCAGTTGCAGTGCATGTTGTAGTATTGTAAAAGGAGAATAAATAATGCAACATATATTTGACTTCTAACTACCTGTGCACAAGTGCAAATCCAAGAATAAAATACTCATAGATACGTCGTATAGTGTCCAACACAAGGGTCTAAAAGTTGTCGGCAAGGGCACTAAAACCGACAATTTCATCTTCGTAGCCTGCTGATTCTGCTTTAAGTGTAGCATTGAGTAAATTCCGGCGCTAAACGACAGATGACCCTTTGAGAAAAGATGCTTTACCCGCAGCTCGAACGAGAACTACACGTTGTACTTTGCTCTGTAGCATCCGATCAACTGGGAGGTTTAATGAATCTAGGTCGAAACTTACGAGGCGGTCTTCGTAGACGGTGCTATTCCGCTTGCCAAATCCATCATTTATCATATGGTCGCTCACAAATAAATGATTTCAGTTAAGTCCTCGTTAAGAAATCTGTGGTATCTCGAGGACGTAAAGATATCACGCTTTAAAACGCGATGCGCGCTTTCACTGTGAAGAGCCGCTAAATGACTACACTGTCACCATTTAGACGACTGTGATCAACAAACTGGCTATCCGTGACGTCGGCATTGAAATCAGCATGAATCAGACCGCCGTGGCAATTTAGCTACCAAGGAGGTGGCCAATGTATCAAATCTTGTCGGCATAATTCAAACCAAGGTGTCCAAGCTAGTACGCGTGCAATACGCTACTAATTTCCAGGTTATTTCCAACATTCTCAAACTCTTCTGGGTGTCTGATACTACTCTGGATAGATTTAAATGCCAATACACATCCTATCTTGACATACGAGTTCGTTTTGTTTGTCAACGCAAGCTGTCCAAACTTTATATCCTAAACTCATCATGTTTCCTTTGTTTTTCGTTGAATCTCATTTTTCTATTTAGCACAGCAGTCTGCACGGCTTTTTAGTGTGCAGATGATGTATGTCCACTACTACTGTTCAGATGTAGTAACGTCTTTTAGTCGTTTATGCCCTCATACTCACCTTTAAGTCTCCCACAAGCCCTGCCTGGTTTCTCTCCACATCGATGGCGTGTACGCATATCGCTCACCGGTCACCACTGCGATACATTCTTCGCATGACATCAACACTAAAGCCTATATATTTTAGAGAGGGTTTACCGGTATATGGCCCTCCATTAGATTTGTACTTAGAACAATGCCACCATCTTCAAGCACAGTTTCCCCTTCCGCTGACTTACATTATGGTTCAAGCCGTTTAACACATATTGTAACGGGGTGAATCGTTACATGACAATTTATAAGAAATTGTTAAAAGAATTTAACAACAAGAGTTACATTCTCAGAATATTGTCATAAGGACAATATTCTCAGAATATTGTCATAAGGACAAATATTCTGTAGCACTTACGAGTAGTTCCTAATTGGTTGATACAGGCCATTATGTCAACCAACGAAGACGCGCCACGACAGACGCACGCAATGAGTGGTGAGCAGATAATTGATTTACACATTTGTATTTAGACATAGTCAGATGAAGATAAATAGTGATTTATTAACAGGCATTAACTATACTAAATACAGTTCTACTTTTTACTTTAACCAAGTACTCGCTTCTTCTTACCGTCTTCCTCTGCACGTACCAGTGTACGTGAAGTTACGAAGCACCGCCTTATTCTGTCATCAGAATAAGTAGCTTGTACTGTCACCAGTATAAGCTTCAGGGTGCCCCGATACACCTGGTAGCACTTCGTAGTCCGTCCAAGGACCACGTTCACATCTAACATGAATGTGTTAGATGATGAAGATGACCAGAGCTTTCACGCTACACGTGACGGCTACTCCCATTTGAGCGATGTCGAATGGGATGCGGTTGAACGGATGGGTTCAACCATGGGCATCCATGCTGTTAGCGTCATGCTAGAGGCTCTCAATAGAGATGCCCAACATGCTACTATCGCCAAGTTCATTCAAAATGAACTTGACGCTGAACGCGAGAAAGTAGCCTTGCTTCACCAACAAGGTTCTCAACAATCAGAGTTGTTGAGAGAACAAGGTGCTCAACAGTTTGAACTATTGAGACAGCAGCAGGCTGCTGCTGGCGGGTCGATGCACTCGCGTCGACCCGAAACCTTGAAGATTGACATCTCCAAGTATAGGGGAGTCGAAGAGGACTCCCTCTTGAGATGGTTCGTCGAATTGGATGGCGCCATAAGGGCGCGTCGCATCGACGACGGAGATATGCAAGTTGCATTTGACCAGGCAATCTGGCAGGACGTGCCGAGACTTGGGCTTTGGGGCTCAAGTTGCACGACCCATATGCGTTTGGGTCGTTGGAAGTCTTCAAGTCGCGGCTCAGACAAACGTTTGAACCGCCTAGAGCTGAGTTTAGAGCTCGAACCGAACTCTTGAAGCTCAAGCAGGGTAAGCGTGATGTGCACGCTTACGCGCAACGTATACGACATCTTACGAGTTGTATAAGTTCCAATCCGGTGGATGAACACACGTTGGTTTCAGTGTTAATGCAGGGTCTTGCGGATGGTCCCGTCAAGACTCACCTGTTCCGGCTTGAACTAGATTCACTAGAACAATCCATTTCCATTGCGGAGCAGGAAGACTTCAGTCTGAGACAGGCTCGCGCCAGATCGACATCATATCGTCAACCGAGACGAAATGACAGCGGAGGTCCAGAGCCGATGGAACTCTGTTATGTAGAAAGCGAGAAGGCTCGCTCTACAGACTACAAGAAGTTGCAGAGATGCAACAGATGTCAAAAGACAGGACACTACGCTTACGAGTGTAGTGCCCCTCGTCCAGTGTCTCGCAACACTGGGCGTAGTGACCGTCCACCCATGAGTAAGGGGCAGGGACGCGGGTCCGCTGTTGGTGCAAAGACGCAACAACGGGATGGACCGTCAAAAAACGGAGAGGATCAGTAGGTGCGGAGCACCCTACTGGTCCAGCAACGTCAAGAGAATTTGTAGGCCTCTTGGTGAAGGTTGCTCCCAACACACAAATATTGTGCGTTGCTGCTCTAGGTAATGAGATCTCACTCATTACCTTGAAACTCGAAGTGACGAATAAGTTGTCCCTTCGAGCTCTAGTCGATTGTGGGGCGTCCAACAATTTTGTGCGACGCCAATCGCTAGAAGATGGTCACTTTAAGTTCAGTGAATGTGACACACCTCCTACGAGGATGACGGTACGTCTTGCGACAGGCGCATCCGTAACCGTCATGAAGCGTATAGTGAAGATCCACTATACGCTAGAAGATACACAATATGATGATGACTTTATCGTATTGGATTTGGATGACAAATTTGATGTCATCCTTGGAATACCGTGGCTCAGAAGATACGAACCACGAGTAAACTGGCAACATCGAACAGTAACGATGCCTGCCGCTTGTTCATCAGATGGCCATCTGATGAACGTTTTGGAGCGTCCACAAGCGTGTGGATGTACTACGAGTTAGTGCGATGGCCTCACTTGTGGTACGGTCGTTAGTACGACTGCGCAAAACCTTAGTGTACCAAACGGTTACACTTCGGAGCAAAGTTCCGGCGGCTGTGAGGAAACACAGGCTGCGCCGAAGGTCCACCACTCGAATAAGCCGAGTGGACCGGGACAAAGATGCATCCCTAGCGGGGAACATCTAGAAGAGAAACAATCGATCGCTCAGGTTAAGCGAAACGATAATCCTAGATCGACTGGAGAGTCTTTCGTAGAGGATCTCGCTGTGGTTGCGCAACCCCAGCTAGAGGAAGTTAAGGGAATAAGTCCCGATATTACAAATACGATGGAAATAAGTTCCCCGAATCCCGCGGGAATAAGTCCCAGGGAAGCCGAAGGAATAAGTCCTTCGAGGCCTGAGGGAATAAGTCCCCAGGAAATGACAGAGACATTGAATTTCCTAGTCAATAACGGATCAAGTGTAGGCGCTTATGCACTTGATCTGATTGCGCCTCCGTAGTTGACTTCGGAGATCACTCAGTTGCCAACGCTCGAACATAAAAGGTTCTTGCGTGATCTGCGTAGTGGCAAAGTCAAGCAGATCTGCGTACTCGTCGCTGAAGACGAGTGTGTAGCCGACATAAGGTCAGCAACAGTGTTTACTGAGAACGAGAGAGTTCTCAGAAGCTCATCGATGGACGAGAGTGTACTCGATGAAAAGACACGAATTGAGCGATATGACTCCCAATCGTGGGAATCGCTCAAGGCAAATCCTCTATACGAAGATTTGGTTGAATTCAAGGATGTATTCCCTGAAACTGTTCCGTGCGAATTACCGAAGGATAAAGGTATTCGACACGAGGTCGAGCTTAAACCAGGCTCGAAGTACTGTGTCATGAAGCAGTGGCCACTGCCTCGTGAACAAGTACTTGCGATCGACAAGTTCTTTGCCGATCGTTTAGCTGCGGGCCATGTGAGGAAATCAACTTCCCCACATAGCTCTCCGACCTTCTGTGTGCGAAAAGCAACAGGAGGGTGGCGGATAGTGCACGCGTTCAACAAGTTGAATGCTGCAACGGTACCGGCTCAGACGCCGATACCGAGGAAGGACGTAATCATTGATGGTATGTCAAAGAGTACCATCTTTTCGTCCATGGATTTGATGGATGGCTTCTATCAATTCCTTATGCGGGAACGGGATATACCCTATACCGCAGTTAGCACGCCTAGCGGCATGCTCTGGGAATGGCTAGTAATGCCACAAGGGCTTAGTAATGCCCCTGCCACGTTCAACAGATGTGTATCACATCTGTTGAGACCAGTACGAGAATTCGCACCGAGTTATTTCGATGACGTATTCATCCATAGTCGGGCTATGGATGGAAAGTCGGATGTTGAGGTTCACAGGTACCACGTCCGACAGGTTCTTACAATTATGCGAAAGCATCAATTGTATGCAAACCTCAAGAAGTGTACATTTGCAGCAAGCGAAATACCACTTCTTAGGTGCATCGTTAATAAGAACGGTGTACGTCCTGATCCCGAAAAGATCAAGGCGATCACCGACTGGCCTGTTCCAGTTGATGTCAAAGGTCTTCAAAAATGCCTTGGGCTAGCGGCATATTTGTACAAGTATTCACGCAATAACGCCGAGATGACTGTACACCTCTCTCGTTTGTTGAAAAAGAACGAGAGGTGGTTATGGAACGCTGAATGTCAGCGCTCCTTTGATGGTATCAAGCAGAGCTTGATACAATCCTCAGTCCTAGCAATAGCCGATCAGGACAGGCCATTTCATGTGGTCTGTGATGCCAGCGATTTCGTAATCGGCTGTGCATTAATGCAGTACGATCTTGAAGGCGTTGAACGCGTCGTCTGCTATCAGTCGCGTCAGCTGCAACCAGCTGAGCGGAACTATCCAGTGCATGACAAGGAAATCCTTGCCATGAAGTATGCACTCGCGAAATTCAGAGTCTATCTATTAGGAGATAGACCCTTCATTGTTTACACTGACCATGCGTCATTACGCACGGCAGTGAACAGCCCGCAACTTTCACAACAAATGGCGCGGTGGTTGTCATTCTTTGCAGAATACAACTTTACGGTAGAATACAAACCAGGACGACTCAATGTCGTCGCTGATGCACTCTCACGTCGTCCCGACTTTGAACCAGTCGTGAAACCCAACAGTGAAACGATCACTGTTGCGGTTATGACGTCCTCAGTCCCATCTTCAACATTGCATAATGATGTGAGGCGGGCGTATGCCCAAGATGGTGAGATTGTGAAGCTGTCGGCACATCTCTCACAGCCATCTCGAGAATCGTTGAAACGATTGTCGCCTGCGTATCGATCTGCATCAGATCGACACACTACTCGCAACGGTTTACTGTATTATACAGCCGTTACTGGTGACACGCCACGTGTTGTCATTCCAGATGATACTGATCTGCGTTTGCGGATCATGTTCGAGTATCACGATGCTCCTATAGGAGGACATCGTGGCCGTGAGAAAACAAATCTCACGGTGAGTCGAGACTTTTACTGGCCCCGCCAGTATCAGTTTGTGCGCTAGAACGTTCGCGCATGCGAAGTCTGTCAACGAGTGAAGTCAAGTCCTTAACTGCGTGCACCTTTACAGCCTCTACCGGTTCCGGCTGAGTGCTGGGAACCCATCTCAATGGATTTCGTCTTCGGGTTACCCAAATACGCACGCAGGAATACGGGTATTATCGTATTTGTTGACGAATTCAGCAAAATGGTACACCTTGTGGCTGTACCAGAGTCAATCACGGCAAGTTGCTGTGCTTGTGTCTTTATCGACACCATCTTCCGACTTCATGGGTTACCCCGTGAGCTCGTATCAGATAGAGATCCACGATCCACTGCTGATTTCTGGCGTTCCGTGTTCAAATCACTCGGAACGCGCTTGAAGATTTCGACATCTAATCATCCAGATTCAGATGGTCAGACCGAACGTGCCAATCGTGTCCTCGAAGAGACACTTCGAGGATACGTACACTCCTTTAAGAGTTGGAGTGAGTTTTTGCCAATGGTAGAGTTTGCCATCAACAACTCGGTGCATGCGTCCACGACACATACACCGTTTTACGTGAATGGCTTACGCTATCCGCGTGTACCCACCTTACTAGAGTGTAACTCTGGTTCAAGGGGGGGAGAGACTCGCGCGAGCAAAAACCGATTTGGTTCACGCTCATCACCCTCTGACGAAGAGGTCATTGCGTTTGATGCCGACATCGATAACATCGATATCGAAGAAGATGAGGCCAGTGAGAGTGCGGGAGCCCTCACTGAAGAAAAGATTGATGTTGCTGCAGTGCACTCACAGCGCACTGAAGCTAACGAGTCAGCAGATGAGTTCATACTGGCTCGTGAAACGGTAGTCCGTTTTGTGCAAGATTCCATCGCCGAAGCGGTGGATAAGCAAAAGCAAAGCGCTGACAAGAATGGAAGGGCAAACACTATTTTATTTAATAGAGGTGACTTAGTCCTACTGTCTACGGTTAATCTACCAAAGCACGTAGTGACTAACTTGGGTAGTAGTAAACTTCTACCCAAGTACATCGGTCCATTTCGTGTATTGCACCGCCTAGGCAATGCATACACGATCGAATTGCCACGTAAGATGCGAACGCATACCACGTTTCGTTTTACGTTGTTCGGCCTAAGCCGTACCATTAGTACGCTGTTTCTTCCGATGAAGAACGCCCTTGCGCTCAAGCATCTCGCAGAGAGCCTTGTGCTCCCGATGGTGGGCATCGACAAGGGTCTGAAGAGCATTTATCTCATCCGGAGACCGATTAACAATCCCACGAGCTACCCTTAGCTCGTCACGCAGAGACGTCAGAGCTATCTTGTTCTCAAGCTGAGCAAAGGCAAACTCAGCTCGTTGCTTCGAGACAGCGTCCGCCAGTTGGAGACGCCTGTCCCGCTCATGT